AGAGAACAAACGTTACATTTGGTGCGACTCTTTGCCTTGTCATCCCATTTGGCTTGCGTTTCCAAATATAATCCCTGCAAGTTATAAGGCCATACAATTAAAATTCTGCATAATGGCACAGAATTTCATACTTCACCGTGGGAAAGGGGCATAAATACCTGTCATGTTTCACATTCATCTCCAGAGATCATAAGTTAACATAGATCTAATCGTCATTTAGCCTATACAGTGGGGAAAAAAAGTATTTAGTCAGCCACCAATTGTGCATGTTCTCCCACTTAAAAAGATGAGAGAGGCCTGTAATTTTCATCATAGGTACACGTCAACTATGACAGACAAATTGAGAAAAAAAAATCCAGAAAATCACATCGTAGGATTTTTTATGAATTTATTTGCAAATTATGGTGGAAAATAAGTATTTGGTCACCTACAAACAAGCAAGATTTCTGGCTCTCACAGACCTGTAACTTCTTCTTTAAGAGGCTCCTCTGTCCTCCACTCGTTACCTGTTTTAATGGCACCTGTTTGAACTTGTTATCAGTATAAAAGACACCTGTCCACAACCTCAAACAGTCACACTCCAAACTCCACTATGGCCAAGACCAAAGAGCTGCCAAAGGACACCAGAAACAAAATTGTAGACCTGCACCAGGCTGGGAAGATTGAATCTGCAATAGGTAAGCAGCTTGGTTTGAAGAAATGAACTGTGGGAGCAATTATTAGGAAATGGAAGACATACAAGACCACTGATAATCTCCCTCGATCTGGGGCTCCACGCAAGATCTCACCCCGTGGGGTCAAAATGATCACAAGAACAGTGAGCAAAAATCCCAGAACCACACGGGGGGACCTAGTGAATGACCTGCAGAGAGCTGGGACCAAAGTAACGAAGCCTACCATCAGTAACACACTACGCCGCCAGGGACTTAAATCCTGCAGTGCCAGACGTGTCCCCCTGCTTAAGCCAGTACATGTCCAGGCCCGTCTGAAGTTTGCTAGAGTGCATTTGGATGATCCAGAAGAGGATTGGGAGAATGTCATATGGTCAGATGAAACCAAAATATAACTTTTTGGTAAAAACTCAACTCGTCATGTTTGGAGGACAAAGAATGCTGAGTTGCATCCAAATAACACCATACCTACTGTGAAGCATGGGGGTGGAAACATCATGCTTTGGGGCTGTTTTTCTGCAAAGGGACCAGGACGACTGATCCGTGTAAAGGAAAGAATGAATGGGGCCATGTATCGTGAGATTTTGAGTGAAAACCTCCTTCCATCAGCAAGGGCATTGAAGATGAAACGTGGCTGGGTCTTTCAGCATGACAATGATCCCAAACACACCGCCCGGGCAACGAAGGAGTGGCTTCGTAAGAAGCATTTCAAGGTCCTGGAATGGCCTAGCCAGTCTCCAGATCTCAACCCCATAGAAAATCTTTGGAGGGAGTTGAAAGTCCGTGTTGCCCAGCGACAGCCCCAAAACATCACTGCTCTAGAGGAGATCTGCATGGAGGAATGGGCCAAAATACCAGCAAGTGTGTGTGAAAACCTTGTGAAGATTTACAGAAAACGTTTGACCTGTGTCATTGCCAACAAAGGGTACAGTGGGGAAAAAAAGTATTTAGTCAGCCACCAATTGTGCAAGTTCTCCCACTTAAAAAGATGAGAGAGGCCTGTAATTTTCATCATAGGTACACGTCAACTATGACAGACAAAATGAGAAAAGAAATTCCAGAAAATCACATTGTAGGATTTTTTATGAATTTATTTGCAAATTATGGTGGAAAATAAGTATTTGGTCAATAACAAAAGTTTCTCAATACTTTGTTATATACCCTTTGTTGGCAATGACACAGGTCAAACGTTTTCTGTAAGTCTTCACAAGGTTTTCACACACTGTTGCTGGTATTTTGGCCCATTCCTCCATGCAGATCTCCTCTAGAGCAGTGATGTTTTGGGGCTGTCGCTGGGCAACACGGATTTTCAACTCCCTCCAAAGATTTTCTATGGGGTTGAGATCTGGAGACTGGCTAGGCCACTCCAGGACCTTGAAATGCTTCTTACGAAGCCACTCCTTCGTTGCCCGGGCGGTGTGTTTGGGATCATTGTCATGCTGAAAGACCCAGCCACGTTTCATCTTCAATGCCCTTGCTGATGGAAGGAGGTTTTCACTCAAAATCTCACGATACATGGCCCCATTCATTCTTTCCTTTACACGGATCAGTCGTCCTGGTCCCTTTGCAGAAAAACAGCCCCAAAGCATGATGTTTCCACACCCATGCTTCACAGTAGGTATGGTGTTCTTTGGATGCAACTCAGCATTCGTTGTACTCCAAACACGACGAGTTGAGTTTTTACCAAAAAGTTCTATTTTGGTTTCATCTGACCATATGACATTCTCCCAATCCTCTTCTGGATCATCCAAATGCACTCTAGCAAACTTCAGACGGGCCTGGACATGTACTGGCTTAAGCAGGGGGACACAGCAGGATTTGAGTCCCTGGCGGCGTAGTGTGTTACTGATGGTAGGCTTTGTTACTTTGGTCCCAGCTCTCTGCAGGTCATTCACTAGGTCCCCCCGTGTGGTTCTGGGATTTTTGCTCACCGTTCTTGTGATCATTTTGACCCCACGGGGTGAGATCTTGCGTGGAGCCCCAGATCGAGGGAGATTATCAGTGGTGTTGTATGTCTTCCATTTCCTAATAATTGCTCCCACAGTTGATTTCTTCAAACCAAGCTGCTTACCTATTGCAGATTCAGTCTTCCCAGCCTGGTGCAGGTCTACAATTTTGTTTCTGGTGTCCTTTGACAGCTCTTTGGTCTTGGCCATAGTGGAGTTTGGAGTGTGACTGTTTGAGGTTGTGGACAGGTGTATTTTATACTGATAACAAGTTCAAACAGGTGCCATTAATACAGGTAACGAGGGGAGGACAGAGGAGCCTCTTAAAGAAGAAGTTACAGGTCTGTGAGAGCCAGAAATCTTGCTTGTTTGTAGGTGACCAAATACTTATTTTCCACCATCATTTGCAAATAAATTCATTAAAAATCCTACAATGTGATTTTCTGGATTTTCTTATCTCATTTTGTCTGTCATAGTTGATGTGTACCTATGATGAAAATTACAGGCCTCTCTCATCTTTTTAAGTGGGAGAACTTGCACAATTGGTGGCTGACTAAATACTTTTTTCCCCACTGTATAGGCTAAATGACGATTAGATCTATGTTAACTTATGATCTCTGGAGATGAATGTGAAACATGACAGGTATTTATGCCCCTTTCCCACGGTGAAGTATGAAATTCTGTGCCATTATGCAGAATTTTAATTGTATGGCCTTATAACTTGCAGGGATTATATTTGGAAACGCAAGCCAAATGGGATGACAAGGCAAAGAGTCGCACCAAATGTAACGTTTGTTCTCTCTAGAATGTTTTAATCATGGAATTAGACTACTTAATAATTAATACTTAATACGTTTGTAATTTAATAGGATCTCAATGGTTTTAATCATATGCCCCAACTTTTCCTATAACGTGAAGAACAAATTCAGTTTGCGCCTGTGACAGTGCTATCGAGTGCCATCATGTGTTCGCTACCAAATCTCATGGTTTATTTTAATGCTGTATACGGTAATTTTTTTCCCCACTGTATTTACAACCCCCTTATCTAAACGGATTACTCATTTAGCTAGCCCTTATCAATAGCTCTTATCAATTTATAAATTACAGTGCATGGAGAATGCTGTTATTTCTATCAGAAAAAAATTAAGTAGATGTTTTTCTACTTGACCTTGTGTAAAGGTGGTGGAATTATTAGGGAATTGACGGTGCGTTCATAACCATGTGGGAAAGTGTTAATTACCAGTGTTGAAGTAACAAATACCAGCTGGATGCATTTATGTGCTTTGAATTATTTGAGAAATGCCGATTGGATAATGGCCAACAAGCTGCCTCAACCATAAACTAAAAGTACAGCTATCATGCTTGTAAACAAATTATAGAGTTAAAAAATCATATTAATAGATTAAGCGTTTTATAATTAATGTTTTGTTGTTGCATTTAACTGCTGAAAATGCTGTTTGAGGTAATTTCCTTAGTAGGTGACATCAGAGGTCAGCATGTGGAAGATGTTAGAGCGCAGGGACGATAGACAAGTTTCCCACTAATTACCAGTTGTATGTGGTAAATACCACCTTCCCACATTTTTATGAACGCAGCACATGTCAAGGTCAGAACTTGTATTTGTCTACACTAGAAGAGGCTTACCTATCATATGAACCTCCTTTTCTGACTCAAATAAGATTCCCTCCAGGTTGCTCTGATGTCTAAAATATTTCAAATCGGGTTGTTTGTTTCCAAATGTGCGGTTGTCATTCAAGCCTATTTCTCTAACACAATTCTCCCACATTACCATGTTTTAATTCAATACAATGCTATTTTCTCTTAGAGTTTTTTGTTGCCTTTTAATGTGCACAGTATTTGATACAGTACATCTCATACGATAAGATCAATGCAAGTCTTCAGACTTTATAGCCTTGGACTACAATACTGTGTGACTTTCTTCTTTTACTCTGCCGCTGATAAATTGCCCCGTTAAGCAAACTCACCAACTGCCAAACACTACAAACCAGGGTGTGTCCATCTTACTGTCAATAAATACTGTGACTCACTTTGTGTACATTCAAATTGCAAAAAGGAATGCTCTTGTGGTTGGAGTTTATTAGGTCAAAATGAATACACTGTAAAGTCTTAGTTCTCTCATAAAGGTTACAAAAAATGTCTCATGCAGATTATTAACCTCCTCAATGCCAAACCTTAGAGAAAAAACAGCAGCAGCTAACTCTGCTGGTAAGGTAAGCACATAGGTAAGCTGTGCACTGTGTGTTGCTATTGAGCCTCTATGACAGTAGCTGGAATGAGACGGCAGGATTAAATAGAGGTTGACTGGGGAATCCTGGGATTTACAGTCCAAATGTTTGGGAGTCTGTCTGACGAGGCCTGAGCTCTACTGAGCATGTGCCAGAGCTCCTGCCCCCTGGCCGAACCCGAAGCCCTTGGGACCAAAGTTCTTGGCATAACATGCTGTGGATGAAAAGGTAGTATACTTTATATAATAATGTATTTACACACAACAGGAGATAAATTGATAACAGATACTACAGTATTAGCATTTTCTCTAGTTTATTTAAATTCTGTTTTGAGGCAATCCATGAGTTATCTACACATTTGTTTATGAAGAGCACTAAAACAAGTCACAGTAGAAGATCAGGAATAGAGTATACACACCTTTACAGTAGATTTCTCCATCTTTGTCAGCCACAGTGGTTGATTCCAGCCCCTTCCCACATTTGCTACAGCGGAAGCAGCTCTTGTGCCAGGACTGGAAAAGACAGATAAGGAGAAAGGTTGGTCTCAGCACTGGGCTGCACAGATGCAGTGTGTCAACAATAACTGGTATTCCACCTTCCCATTAGAGTATTTGAACACAGATTAGATATCCCCCATCATGCATTTCAGTTGACAGCACCTCCACAGCAACCAATGACACAGTATGGCCATGTAGTACTGTTAAATATATGGGTTGTTTCCCGGACATAGATTAAACATAGTCCTGGACCAGACAGCAAGCTCAATGGAGAATGCTTTTTAGTCCAGGACTAGGCCTAATCTGTGTCCGGGAAACTGCCCCCATGATGTTTAGGAGAAGCAGGGTTTTGAGATTAACCATAATGTAGCTCTCCCCTTCCAATAAACAGGATCAGCCCAAAACTCTGACTTACGTTTCCACCTCCGAGCACCTTCTCAGCAGAATACACAGCCTTGGCACAGCGTGGGCACACGTCTGAGCTGCCAAACTTGGTGGCCAACTTGGAGGCGTTGGGGTTGTTGGTGGGGCGGTGGGCTGCAGGCCTGTTGATGAACAAACAGACGGTCTTACTTTGAGGAAGCATTTGCCCGGATATGTCATGACATTAACACTACACAGCTCACTGTGTGCAAACTTACAGTGGTTAGATTTGTTATGATTAAACTATTTAGAGCAACTTTCAATTCAGGCCTCAAGGTCTGCAGGTTTTCCTTTATCCCTAATCGATTGATTAATTAATGTAATCGTGTCCCAGGTCCTAATAAGTCACTTATTAGAAGGGAATGATGAATATCAGCAGTGCTGTGGAAATAGCCCTGGTAGACCTATTTGTATGGAGAGTACAAACAATTCTGAGATGACTTCCTTACTCTTCAGGTCTGATTCCAAGATGTGCCCCCGTGTCCATGCTCAGGGTGCCTGCTCCCCCACCAAATCCATAGCCTTTTGGCCCATACTTCTTGCCGTAGCAGGATTTGCAGTAGATCTCATCCACATGGCAGGCCACCGTTGTGCTGTCCAGGTTCTTCTTACATGCCACTAAGAGCAGAATATTTTAGGCAGGGAGAGGTAGACAATAGACAGATTTAGAAGCATTGAACTGATTGGTCAATGCTGTGCCATAGCAGCAGCAGCAAAGGAGTTTAGAAGCTACACACCAATACTAACAGTCTTCCAATCTGAGGTCATTTTGTGTTATGTTTATCAGCAACAGACCATGTAGTTTCAGACATTTGACTCTTTAGAGTCTGAATCATTGCAATGACATTATGGGATCACCACAGTGTTAGAACTTCAAATGTTAAACTGACTCTGGGGCCGAGAGATGCGCACAGTTAACTCAAACTAACAAACACTCATCTGAGCCAGATCACTCTCTGGTACCTTTTCTCCCATATAAGGCCTGTGACACATCCATTTCTCTCTCTCCAAATAAGGACGTGCTAGTGAGAACCAAGAACCTTTGGATGCTCCGCTTCCCCTGAGTGCCAAATACTTTACATTCCATCCTGAGCTCTTAATGTCAGCTCAGAATAATTGGTACATTAGTAGTCAGTCAAGGTGGTTTATGAAAGAACGGGATGACCTCAATCAGATCACTTACTGCACAGAAAGCAGGACTTGTGGAAATATTTCCCTTCGCACTGCACTTCCTCAGCAAAGTACACAGTCTTCTGGCAGCAGCCACACTTATTTCCTCCTCCCAAAGGCATTCTGCGGAGTTACAGTGGAGAGTTAGTTCCTTACATAGAAATAGAGGTATGTGGTTCCTTCTGTTTGACACACACTGAATGGGAGGAGTTACTCACATAGAAGAAAAAAATAATATATATATACACTTCTAGAGTTCCTGACACGCATCGGATGGTAGGAGACCTACAATATGAGGAATGCATGAAGCTGTGTATACAATGTGAGGTTTTTCAGACCTTGTGACTTGACCACGAAAAAGTGTGTGCAACCAGTTATAGACTATAACTAGGGTTCTGAGTTTCTGGTCAGGTCATGTGATCAAGAACTTTACAAATGAGAGAACATACAGTATTTACACAATAGAGCCTGGTTATCCTCTGTAGATATCCTTTCTTCAAAACTTATGGCATCTTAGGAATGTACTCATAAAATGAAGACATTGTGATGATAAGGCCACTCCTGAGTTGAAACTGCTACTGGGCTTGGCTACAGTACCTGCAGGCACTTTCACTGTTTATTCTCCTTTTCATGAAATGCGAAGTTCCTCCTGAGGCTAGGGAGGTGCCAGACCACTCATGTAGAACACTCATTGACCTAACTCAACTTATCAAGTCTGCTGTTGAATTTAAATAATAAATTGCTGTTGGATGAGTGTATTGTACTTCGATCCATCTTGTTGAAATATGCATTCCATCTAGGATGTCACCCAGACAGAAGGCGCTAATCTCCATTTGGGTAAACAGGAAATTCATTTTATTTTGTGGTAGCCTAGCAGTTAAGAGTGTTGGCCAATAACCGAAAGGGTGTTTTTTTAAATCCCAGAGTCGACTAGGTGAAAAATCTGTCGATGTGACCTTGAAGCAAGGCACTTAACCTCTATGGGATTGGTGTCCCGTATACGGGATGGTTGAGCTAACGTGCGCTAATGTGATTAGCATGACTGTTGTAAGTAACAGCAAACTTTCCAGGACATAGACATGTCTTATATGGGCAGAAAACTTAAATTCCTGTTAATCTAACTGCACTGTCCAATTTACAGTAGCTATTACAGTGAAAAAAGACCATGCTATTGTTTGAGGAGAGTGCACAACAACAAAAAACGTATCACGGCAACTGGTTTGATACATTCACCTCTGAAGGAAAATAATGTACTTACATTCAGTAATCTTGCTCTGATTTGTCATTCTAAGGGTCCCAGAGATAAAATGAGCATAGTTTTGTATGATAAAATACATTTTTATATTCAAATGTAGGAACTGGGTTCTACAGTTTGAACCCCTGTTGTCTTTGGCTCCACGCTCACCCCGCCCGGCCATCTAGATGTGTGAAAGTTAGTGTATAAGCTAATGATCCATCATGTATGACATTCCTGGGAGTGTGTAAACTTACATTTGTATTATCTCTATAGTTATGTACTTGAAAATGTATCAATTGACCAATTCAGCACATTTGGGCATACTTGATACAAAAATAGTCCAGTATTGCAATGCTTCACTGGATCAATCTTTCAAATCGTATCAAGTATATGCATATCCTTGCTTCAGGTCCTGAGCTACAGGCAGTTAGATTTGGGTATGTCATTTTAGGCAAAAATTGAAAAACAGGGTCCTGTAAGTTGCTCTGGATAAGAGCGTCTGCTAAATTACCAAAATGTAAATGTAATTAGACCACATGTTAGCAGTCACTTCATGACCTTAGACAGTCACTGACCCCAGTCAGCCACTCTATGCTACTGACCAGGTCAGGTGGCTTTAGACACAGAGAATAAGGCAATAGAAATATTCAGACGCTGAAAGATGTATTTTGTAAACATCACCTCTATCCCACTTACCACTCCAAATACCTGCAACAACAAGACAAGTTATTGCGACATCAGCTATCATGTATAAAGGGTTGAGTGCGTAACTTCAATACTGAGCAAAACATTTCATAGGAAGCTGGTCGTACTCTACACGGACATTACTCATATCATTTCCTGAGTTCTGTGACTCCTTTCCTGCAGATGCTCAGGAAATAGAACCATTAATGCACCCAGCCAAAACATGACCCATTTTGGTGATTTTACATCTAACAATGTGTTCTGCTGTCATCATCTTGATCTAAAAGCTGCTGTCATCACCACTCTTTTCATTACATATACAGTACCATATAGCAGCTACCACTTCATCTATTGTACAGAATTATGATCAAGCTACTAAGTCATTCCTTCCCTACTCACCACAGCTTATTTTACCCTCCTTACCCTGTGAGTTTCTAGCACATGAGATATGATCTGCCCTGCACTTTGAAAGTGAAAAAGCAGAAGAATCTGTGCAGTCTTGGATAGTAATACATGTTTTGAATGTGTTCTTTGTGGCCTGTTACCATATGCTATACATCATGAAAACAGTGGCTACAGGAGCCGGTAGGTATTGAGATGGTCCCATCTTACCTGTTTTAGTGTTTGAGGCTGGGCCGAAACTCTCTGGTTGTAAAGTGATCTCTGACTGTGGAGTTCAGAACAGTTCAGCGGTTGCTTCAGTCTAAAAGAACTCAGAGAAACAAACCAAGCTGGGACTTAAGAAGGAGGAGTCTGCTGGGTACACACGTAGACTGGGAAAGAGATGTATAGAGTGGAGGAGAAAAAGAGAGGAAGAAAGGGCTTTAGATGGATGAAGGAAAAGGGTTTGGGAGAGAGAGATGTGCAGAAACAGATTTAGAGAGATGCAGAGAGAGAAAAGAAATAAGAGAGGGAAAAAGAGAGCGAGAGAAGCCCTGTTTATACCTGGTGCTAACATGCACCCCTGAGCTTGTCCATTCTGATTGTGCCCACATTTTTTTGACAGGTGTAGACAATTAAAAGACACATTGGCTGCATTTACACAGGCAGCCCAATTCTTATATTTTTTTCACTATTTGGTCTTTTGACAAATCAGATCAGCTCTGAAAAAGATCTGATGTGAAAAGATCTGATGTGACTGGTCAAAAGGTAAATTAGTGGAAAACATATCAGAATTGGGCTGCCTGTGTAAACACAACCATTGTGATCTGATAGAGATCTTCCTGGCCACCACCAGGCGTAGCCAGTCACGCATTATGTCTGGATATCAATCAAGTGTAAAAAAATATCTTGATGGTCAAACCATTTAAGGGTCACTGCACAACATAAACACAGTCTTAAATATTTTAAGTAGAAATTGTGCACAAATGTATAACTTAAAAGCCTGTTATATTAAATGAAGTGTCCTCTAATATAGACCACATGGAAAATTCATTTAAATCTGATTCTGTTATATGAACAAAGACTTACTAAAGTAAAAAAATGCAGCATTATGACATGTCCCTCTGTGAGTTCTAGGAAGATTAATACCCACTTAACCCCAAAATGTCTCCAAGTTTTCACCATCATTGTTAAGCCCTAGTTATTTTGTTGCTTTAACAAAGTCATTTCTGAAGATTGTGATTAGTGATTCATTTCAAGGTTTAAAAAAAAGTCTGTCCCTTATTTTAAGGTCAACCTGTTACGTGAACTGAACTCGTTTTAATATGGTTCAACTATTTCTTTAAAACATATTTTTTTCAAAAGAAACATTGAACATCTAATAGTCAAATCATAGTGTAAGCTGGTTATACTCTTTTTGGCCATTTTCTGGTGTCTTGTGGTGGAAAACGGAACGAGTCGAGCATAACAAGTTCACCGTTATAGACAGGCATAGATAGACAGGCTAGACATGTATTCACAATAAAACATTTATTGTGTTCAATTGCCCATCCCTGTTACACACAACAAGCTTCCATTCCCACTGTCACAAGGGGATTTATGGCTGATTTAAGATGAAATCGTCAACCCTGTTACAGTCAACCCTGTACCGGTCAACCCTGTTACACTTAATAGGCACTTATTATAGTAATTTTTTATTTAACCTCTTGAGATGGGAAAACATGTGCTCTTCATTTTTTTCACCAAGTTACACTCCTCAAAAGGCACCTAATTGGTGGAATGACCCTGAAGTCGTCATTATACCAGCCTCTAAAATCATTGATAGGTAGCACCATTGACTTACGGCATCAGTAATGGTCTTAAAATAAATACATTCATATTATTTTTAAAGAAATCTGTCAAATAATTTACATACAGGGAGGCATTAGCTAATCTGGTCACAATGTGGACACAGTGGATGAACAGGAGACACATTGTAATACAATGTGTAGATGCGACAAACCTTGATCAGATTGTGATCGGATCATGTTGATCAGATCACAAAATTCACATGTTAGCGCAAGACGTAAATGAGGCTAGACAGAGAGGGAAGGAAAGGGGAGGGTGGTGATGGAAAGAGATTAAACGTAATAACATACCAGCAGTGAAGCCAAGATAGCCTCCGTCTAAAATCTGGTTTAACTGCCCTCTTATTGTGATGGGTAAAGGCACCAATACATGACCTAACTACTGTATCTGCCTTCAACCTAATAACCTCTAATCAGTCACATCAACAATGGCCTAATAACATTTACTGAGGTAAAACACAGTCAATACGGTTTTCCCAGGCAGCATGTGGGACTCTTACCAAGAAAACATTGTATTGCATTGATTGAAGATAAAACAGCTTCTGATTGTTGGGCAGTATGATATTAGATCTGTCTGTGACATTCCCCACTCTGTGAAGTTTGTGTCTTGGCTACGCTGCCTTATAAGGTGTTTGTTATGATGATTGCAGACTGAGCATGTTTACTGAAAGGATTACTCACTTTCTCCAGGGGCGGGGCCATTAGGAAAACTCAAGTTAAATTGGCCTACAATTTTGGGGAATTTTGGAGCATTTGAGAGCAAAATAATTTTACCTAGCCTAGATACAGTATTTTTGTTGGGACAAACTGTTATTTTATACCTCAATGGGACAAACATGCTGAGAGAGAGAGAGAGAGAGAGAGAGAGAGAGAGAGAGAGAGAGAGAGAGAGACGAGATAAGATAGAGAGAGTCGACGACGAGAGAGAGAGATCTAGATAATATGAGAGAGAGCTCTAGCTCGAGAGCTCTCG